TTGAATGATGTTATATAGTCATATTTTGTAATGATGCGCCCACGCTGATAGCAACGCTCGCTGACAAGCCAGTGTACGTGGCTGATCCAGTGTGCAAATTGCGACTGATTTGGAACTTATGCTGGAGGAAAAAAACATATTTCTCCGCGTCAATTTTACTTTGACATTTCTACGCTATAAGACGTAAAAGCCACAAGTTCGATTCATAGTTTCTATGTTTATTAATAATGAACGAACTTATTCTGTTCAAGTTTCCTCGTGCTTTGATCTTTGACTGATTACAGCACGAATAATACCTTTCTACATATTTATGACGAGATTATAACGGAATAGAACGTTTCGACACAGCTACTTGGGCGCAGATCAATGGCCGTTTTCAACAGTCTCTTGGCCGCGAGTTTCAGTCTACATGATTGAACGGCGGTCACCGGCATCAATAAAGTTCCATTCAGCGCTCCAATATGACACATAAATAAAAAGCCGTCAGGGATCACAATAAAAAACTTGCCAAACTAGTGAAAATCAAAGAATCTTCTGGTATTTCATGTTTAATTGTTCTGATTGCGCCAGCTCATTGAGTCAGCGTGCAACCGTGCCATCGTCAGTTTCACTCTAAGCGCTAGCTGATGTTTGCAGATGTCCCGTTTCTGAATTTTTTTCATCATTTACATATCAGTATAAACACTCTCATGAGCAGAATATGAATATTCCGCGAATTTGTAAATTTCAAGGTAAGAAGTTTCGCATCATGACGGTGTGACTGTGCGAGTTCATTAAGTTTATGCAACGTCAAATGTTTAAGATTTTGAGCTACACAATTTCACAATACCAGTCTCTATCGCATTTCCAACTTATTTTATCATGCTGCATATCAACGGAAAGTTCACTCAAAACAAAATAGAAACTTCTGTCAAAATTGTGAATTTTGAAGACTATAATTTTGTTTATAAATCGCCTCGCGCAAACGCAAACAATTCATTTAAAAAGTTCTGAAACTTATAATTTTAAAGAACGCTCTGAATTCTCCTGACATAAAACTTTTCTTGATTATAACATAAGGGGCGAAATCAAACAGTTGATAGATATGAATGCTTGACAATTATAACGATTCATATTCGCGACAACACGACTACGGCCTGACTTAGCGATTCACACAATTCTTACATGGCATCATGAAATGAAACAGATATGTTCGAAAGTCACAAGCTTGACAGAGGTTTCGCACTGTGATTTTAGCTATAAAATAATACAGATCACGGTGCTTTCAGCTGTGAAATGATATAGATCAAGATCGTGAACAGTTGGCGCAGTGCAGTTAATGCGCTCGTGCAATCATGCCATCGTAAAACAAACCTTAACACCTTCAAATCCACTAATTTAACAAAATTTTCGTATTCGGCTCAATGAGGACATTAGATTCATAAGTGAATGATGAAAAACTCACAAACGGGACGGGACAACGGAAAACATGTGTCAATATATACAATTAAACTAACGACTGCACTGCTCGCTGATTCAGTTACATCGCATAGCTAAAACAATGGAACCATAAAACACAGTGAAATTTTTCAAAATTTAAGAGTTTGACAGAAGTGGTGC